AAAATCAGAACAAAGCCGTGTGTAGAATGAATGAATGAATGAATGAATGAGGGAGTGAGTGAGTAAGTGAATGAATGAATGAATTCTATTATTGGGGGGGGGGGGGTACACGTGACAGTATACGTGTACTACAGGGTGAGTGAATGAATAAATGAATGAATTCTATTATTGGGGGGGGGGGTACACGTGACAGTACACGTGTACTACAGGGTGAGTGAATGAATGAATGAATGAATTCTATTATTGGGGGGGGGGGGGGTACACGTGACAGTACACGTGTACTACAGGGTGAGTGAATGAATGAATGAATGAATGAATTCTATTATTGGGGGGGGGGTACACGTGACAGTACACGTGTACTACAGGGTGAGTGAATGAATGAATGAATGAATGAATTCTATTATTGGGGGGGGGGGGTACACGTGACAGTACACGTGTACTACAAGGTGAGTGAATGAATGAATGAATGAATGAATTCTATTATTCGTGGGTAGCCTACATGTGACAGTACTCGTGTACTCCATTGCTATTAATTTCTTTCAATTTGAATATAGACCATTATATAATATGTCAGGGTCTGACATTCAGTAGAACAAGTATATATGTTATTATAAAGTATAGCCGTTTATTGTGACATACTCTACAGTTACAGTCTACGCCTACACTTCCCGTCTTGTGGCAGTAGCTGAACTAAATATTGTTTTCAGAGAGACAGAACACATTTAATAAAGAAAACCCCCCCAAAATAATCGATGAGTTTGACACATATAAACAACACAGGCGTAATCCCATTTTTTGGGCGAGAAACCGAGCTAAATGTTCAAACTCCACAATGGAAACAACAGGGATTGTGCTAGACTGGGTCGAATTGGTTTCCCTCCTTTTCTGTCAGATACTAAACTCGCTAAAAATATCTTCGAGACACAGGGGCGTGCTGGCAGGGAGTTTAGGAGGACGGTGTCCTCCCAGGCCCCCATTAAACAATAAGTCCACCCGTATAAGCGGGCCCCCCTGAGAGCTCTAATTTTCACGCGGAATCACCTAAAAAAATTGAGAGTGCGCACGCGAAAAATCATACATACACAACGATTAGTAAAATATATTATGCTGACGTGCAAATGTCTGTCACTTTAAGGTGAAATGGTCTTTGATTAAAAATTTTGCCGACTACAGCAAAATCATAAAGTGGAGTCAGAGAAAGGCAGCATCCTACAGAAGAAGAGTACATACAGGAAACAGGCACAAGCAAAAAAAAATAATTTAGGTGGGTTGTCAAATTTCAAAAATTTTCTGGGGGGAAAACCCCAGCAGACCCCCCTACCAGCGGACCCCCTACGAGGTTGGACAGGCGACCCTACCCCTTGTCGCACACAAGCTTTGGATCGAAACCACACTACTGGACTCATTGACAGAACTTCTTAAGTGAACGTTTAGACCACTCGATCCCGACTCCAGGCCAAGCCCCCACCAACCAAACCCTCGCACATCCCGATAGAAATGTAGATGAATAATAAATAACCCACCACGGGGTTGGACAGGCGACCCAACTCCGTGTCACGCACAAACTTGGCAGTCCTTATGATCTAAAGTGAACGCTTAGTTCACGCGACCCCGACCCCAACGCAAGCCCCCACCTTCCCCGATAGAAATATTGATGAATATTAACAATAGTGAAATAAATAAAAATAATATTTATTCATGAAACATGTCATCAATCAACATAAATCACAATGTAAATATACTGACACTACTTGTATTATTTATGATGCGGAAATATTTAAAAGTAAAATATGTGCCGGATAGGCTAAATCTATTTGTTAAGGCCAGCTCAATTTTTGTCAAGGTCGCTGACATGTAAATAAGGTTAGGGCACGTGATTGTTGGCGAGATTGTAGGTTAGGGCTAGGGTAAGCATTGGGGCTAGGTTGTAGATCCAGGGTTAGGGTTTGGATTAGCTCTAGCCCTGTTTACATCTCGCGAACCTTGACGAAAAATTGAGCTGGCCTTATCATTTAGCACTAACCGTGCCGGATATCGTAAATAAACTCCACACATCTGCGCATTTATGAAAGAATGCACTTTAAAAACTGGGTGTCAAGTTCCAACGAAAATAATAGAAATGCAATGGGGTTTAACGTCCCACATTTCTGCACCAACCGGGATTATGAAGACGGAGAAAAGAATTGGAACATGGTTTAACGAAATGAAATGACATGGGCTAAGGAAAACGGACATTCATCATAGTGTGCTATGAGGGTTCGCGTACGTGCACATCAGTGTGTACAGGGGTGGATTTCGAATTTTTGTCCCATCGCAACAACTGCACTATCACCGAAAAATGGGAACTGGGCTTGAAATATTCCAACCGTTCTCCTAGGCCCACGCCTGAGTAAGACGTTGGCTCGCTAACCTCGAAGTCCTGTGTTCGACCCCAGTGTTGTCCGAGAAAGTTCATCGGGATTTTCTGGCGTGGTTCCTCCTTGTCTGGCAAGGGACAACGCATAGTCGTTCGGATGGGACGAAAAACCGAGGTCCCGTGTACGCATTGGCGTGCACGTAAAAGATCCCTTGACAGTTGGAATTCTATATAAGAGTAGGCCGTAGCGCCGCTGTCTTTGTCAAATTTTCCCTTCATAGCACACTGTATGGCGTATGCCCGTCTTCATTAGCCCAGTTCGGAGCAGAATAGTAGGACGTTAAACCCCATTTCATTTCATTTCACTTCCTAATGTTGACAAGTATAATACTGTGCATTTCATTTAGCTCATGATTTTATAGCACATTTTTAGTTTGTTTTACTCCCACCATAAGTCATTCGGGCAGAATATCCAGTCGCCAAAATTAATATTATTAAATTCACTCGTGATAATGATATGATAAAAACATTTACAGTGTTTAAATACCATCCGGTTGTCGTCAGTCGTTAATCAACATAGATAATGGAGAAATACGTCAACAGCACACGTGTACCACCAATACATTCTTCAGCTAAGAAAACCCCCACAATGATTTCGATATTTAAAAAAGATGTAGCGTGGGGTGCGCCGCATGCAGGCTAGGCTAAAACTATTGGCATCTTCTTCAATTTATAATACCAAGATTCGCACCCAGGGAGCCGCGGTGGCAGGTCCGTAGCTAGCGGGGACGGGGGAGGGGGCAAGCGGGGCAGCTGCCTCTCTTGGAAAAAAATCGGCGCACCCAATGGTGCCTGCGCGCGCCCTTTCCATTGGACCCAATACGCAGCCAACGACCACCATCCCCTCCCCTCCCTCGCTATCTACTCAGTGGGTAATACGCTGGCTCGCAGACATGTATGACCAGGGTTCGACCCCAAATTCTTCATTACCAGAGTTTGTTGTCTAATCGTTCGGATGGGACGATAAAGTGAGACCCAGTGTACACACTGACGTGCATGTAAAAAAAAATCGTAATGAAAATGTGCCGTAGCGCTGCTATCCGTGCAATAATTACCGTGCAGAAAAGTAGGACGTTAAACCCCATTTCATTTCATCTTATTTTTAAACATACATTATGCAAGAGCTAAACCTGCCTATTGCAGGTCTTTCTTTAGGCCTGAAATGTTATATATACTATTAATTAGACATTTATTAACAAAACAAGACGATAATCGACTCTTGATGGCAACGCTAGTCTGCGATATTGGAATGCATTTTTTGAAAAATAATTAAACGTAAAATTGGATAATCGAGACTTTGTTGGGTTTTTTTTTTATCGTACCGATTTTAGTCAAGCAATTTGACTGAAATGTTCAGCTATATTATATTCACGCTATCTATTTGTGAACTATTACAGTGAGGACTGTCATCTCTTTATCTAATCTCCCATAAATCCCCTTTAATACGTTAAGGATATTTCTGGGACCTGTTTCACGAAATTTTAACTAAGATAAAATTAAAATTTTAGTAATTTGATTGGATGGCCAATCAAAATTGAAGTATCTACTAAAATTTGGTTTTTATCTTTAGTTTAAATTTCGTGAAACAGGAATCCCGGAACTATATCATACACTGAAGGAATTATTCTGAATTGAAGTTGAAGTCTATACAACAATAATAACAAAACCATTTTTATTTCTAAACCGTTTTACATGAAAACAGTATCATTGTCACACGTACACCGCTTGAATTTATGACAATAAATATTATTTTGTTCATAGGGGAGGTTAGCATGTGCGCTCTGGATCATAAGCTATGTCATTGAGTCAATTGGCGTGGTTTCGATTCCACGGTTGTACGTGACAAGGAGAAGGGTCACCTGTCCAACCTCGTACGTGGGTTTTCTCTGGGTTCTCCGGTTTCCTCCCACTGCTAAAGACCCTTACGCGCAAGCGAATTATTGAAATTTTATTGAACCACATGTTAGTCCCGAAATGACCTAGTTTGTGTCGAGTGGACGTTAAACCCTACCTCTCCCCCCCCCCCCTCTCTCTCTCATATTCTTCAATCGACTGTGGCATACTTCCAGCCCCATTTGCCCCAAAAATTATATCTTGTTCAATGTCTGGCATTTTTAGTTGTGACCATATGCTTCAACTTAAATGTTTTGACTTTATTATTGAAGCTATTAGCTTTGAATTCATAAAATCTTTTACTTTCAAATGGAAGTTTCGTATAAAACCTTTGATGGTTTAACCTATAAACCAAGTACAATGATAATGTTAATTTCATTTTTTTTTGTGCGTCTCGTTTGCGTAATGCGCTTTACGTAGAATAAATGCTAGGCTATTATTACGCAGGCTGCTTTTATTTTATCAATCTAATGATTCTAAATTTATTAGATACAAGCTGATTTATTTTTGGATTGCAATTAATGATTCAGAATGATAAATTGTGTTTGATTACACTGTCTAGTTTTTATTTGAATGTAACAGTCGTAGGAGTTGGCCTACACATTTGTTTATATGCGTATCTAGAGTAACGAGACTAAACATGGGTAGTATGTAATTTGTACTAAAATTCATTCACCGTTGTTGAGCTCATCACAAACAACACGCATTCTGCTCACGTCACAACTATAAGTCGACCAATATGTGGTGTGCTGCTATAATTATCTCACGTTCTCCGGGATCCCTTTCAGACCCCTCCAGCCAATTACAATGTCACGTGACTTTGGTCTGAATGGCGTCCTTGGTACTATCAGTCGTGTAGCGCAGTGTATCGTTAGGGTTTAATACAGAACATACTAGCGATTCAGAAGTCAACATATAGTATTATAGCTCGTGTGTGTGTGAGTGATACGCAACCGGCATGTCATTGTTTATTAGGCCTATATCCTATATATAAGTGTAACCATGTGATAGTTAAGTAATGGTATTAGTAATCAGAAATCGAATTATATTGGCTAACATGCGCCTTATCTGTCGGTGTTATTACATATTAACCGGTGTATATAGTAGGATGTGAGTGGACTCCGTATACACGAAGTAATATTTTCATAACGGATTCAAAGATCGTGGGAAAGCAATTTATTTTAATACTATTTCATTTTTTTATTATTATTATTACTATTCGTTTATCATTCAATTTAACATTGAGTGAACGGTGGGATACAACCATACAATGATGATGAGTTCGACTGTTATACGTTTATCGAAAGTTTTGATCGGAGTCGGAGTTGGTGTTCTGTTATTGTGTGTTTTAGCCGTTTCGGCCACAGTGACGGACAGATTATTGACATTACCTTTAATTGAGGTGGGAGGACTTTGGCTAAAGGCCGTTACGACAATTATGAATAGAACTTTAGCAATTTTCACGACGATGCCCGATTGGTATTCCTGGACCACCTATGTGTACCTGCTGGCGGCGGCTTTGATCTGCTACGGGATATATATTGTATTTTTCACACCTTTGAATCGAATTAGGAAATTATGTGATGTGGGGTATTTAACGGAAGGTGATTTATCCAAGAAAGAAATAGCTAACAATGTAATGAAAAGACGCATGGTTGGTGATATACCCCCCGTTTACCCTAATGGCTGGTTTGGCCTAATTGAATCTTTCAGATTAAAAAGAGGAGAAGTGAAAAGTATCGACTTGTTAGGTGAGTCAATAGTATTATCTCTTTATAAGACAAGCTTAAGTATTTTACAACCATCAACATTCGGCCCCGCCCCTAATTCTAGAGATATAAAAAAAAAGGTGTAAAGACGTTGTTGGCTGGGGACCGGTCTGTCTCGCACTACTTGATGTTTAAATTTTAATTTTAATTTGCTATCGGTCACTTTAGCGGGTGATTTTAAGAATGCTTTGTCATAGATTATTACATCATTGGAATTCCTTTCTAAAATTTTAATTTGCTATCGGTCACTTTAGCGGGTGATTTTAAGAATGCTTTGTCATAGATTATTACATCATTGGAATTCCTTTCTAAAATTAACATTTGTATCATCCATTAAATTATGATTTAAATTGGATCGAATCCAAGGGGATATTACTCTTGGGGGATACTCGATTGAATATTCGTGAATAGAATGATCTCAACTCTTACCCCCAAAAGGTGTCACTCGACAGAACTGGACCCATCACCGTAGCTGCAACATTTGATTACGATTTTTCTCACACCGTACTTGTTTCCGGATTGGAAGAACTGTGGCAGGCCTTAGTTACGTCAATTCGGAACGCTTCGTTTTGAAAATCAACCAACCTCATTGTGACCAATAAAAGAAATAAACTTCATTTTCCTTCATACATGGTCGACATCTAAATTTCTCCAAAAGAACCCTGAAGCATTAAAGAAAATGGTCTAAAGCGCACGCCCTAGCCCCTCCTCATGTAAAGATAAGATAAGATTTTATTGTATCATTGCACCCATCAAGGACAGCATACACAGTTTAAACAAAAGTTGGTCATACAATTATAACATAACATCTGGGAGGAAGTCTCTTAAACATACATTATGGGAGATTCGATAACGAGTTGGCAGTTCTCACTATAATAGTTAAAAACTTGATAATGTAAAGGCAATTTGCTGAAAATTTCATTCAAATTGATCCACTATGATCCGAAAACGAAGCGATTGAAATTTCCGCCTAGCCACGATCATCATTACTAAAGTCAGTACGATAAACAGCATAGTCTCGATTATCCATTTAATCGTTAAATTCTGAAGGAAAGTTGTGCAGTAAATCGGCTCATAATCCACTAAAGATCGCAGGCTAGCGATGCCATCTAGAGTTGATTATGATCTGGATAGGTTAATTAATGTCTAATTAATAATTTAGATAACATTTCAGTCCTAAAGAAAGAGCTGCAATAGACAGATTTAGCTCTTGCATACTGTATGTTTAATTATAAAACCATGACATTTTGTGGCAATCAAGACTCTAAATCCGATTTAATATGAGTCGCTTAACTGTCTAATTCAAGGAGATATCTGGCTAATATACTCTTTATTAAGCCTTGGCGTTTCCTTATTCATTGTATAATGACCTTACTATGTTTACTATTTGGGGCATAGAAAACATTCCGCTTCTTTTGTCCGCTTATTAAGATAAACACGTTATAAAAATGACGGCCGCGTGTTGACAACACTATTATTAACTCAGTGAAAACTATATTAAACGAATGTGCTATTGAATTCAATTTCTGAGAACTGTAATATTTATATTGACTATTTAGGTAGGGGTGTACGAGGAGTCGGTTAATTGAAATATTGCTGGGGACCTTTGTCTTGATGTCTCTAGCAACGGGAATAATAAATAATTAACACTTTATTGATAACAGTTTTGGACAGTAGCGGAGTGTGTCCACCCTTACCTACATATACCCAAGATTTGTTTGTGTATAAGTTAGCCACAATTACACCTAGTTACAAGAACAACAGTGACCTTCAAGGCGATTGATACGAGCTCCAGTCAGTGGCTCGATTTCAAAACAAGATGTTTAACCGATTCCTCCATGACCCACTATTTATCGCCGGTTTTCTGTCACACCATCCGAGTCGTAAAGTTTTCCAGCTTGACCATCATTCAGCTTGAGAAAATCGGTTGATTCCATGTAAATATATTTTCGAAGCAAAAGACGGATAGTCGTCTGCATTATTAGTAATTTGTTGAGTAACGGGTGTTCGATCCCTGCATTGGCCGAGAAAGTTCATCCCGATTATCCAGCGTGGTTCCCCCTTGTCAGTGATGCAGCACAGAGGGCCTGACAAGGACAACTGTTTAGTCCTTCGGATGATACGAAAAACCGAGGTCCCGTGTATACATTGGAATGCACGTAAAAGATCCCTTGGCAGTTGGAATTCGATATAAGAGTAGGCGATAGTGCCGCTGCCCGGGCAAAATTTCCCTCATAGCACACTGTATGGCGTATGCCCGTCTTTTTTAGCCCAGTATAGGAGTAGAACAGCAGGACGTTAAACCCCATTTCATTTCATTTTCTCTTTAAGCGCATCTGGATAGAAACTTTAATAGATATCAATGCACCAAGTTGATTCATAGATAACATATACACGTTTGCAAATGTCAGAAAACACGTGGCCATCTACTCTTAAAACATCTTGCCCAATTACACGTTAAATACCTCTATTGAGTCTCATCGTAGTTTTCCCAATTACACCCAAATTGCGTGTATTGAATTTGATATGAATGGGTGTAGCAAACCGTGCATGATTTTATTACAAGTCCCGTTCAGATAAGACTCTCTATCTCATAGATACTTCAATAGAAATTATCTAATAACTTTTATAATATGACGCCTGTGTTTTCGCTGAAGGGAAGTTTGCTTCCGCTTAAAGGCTCTTTGCTCGGAACCTGATGAATTTTTAAATAGAAATCATATTTACAAAGATACGCGCTATAAAATCTTCATTTAAAGGCTCAATACCACTCTTGTTGTAACTGAATAATATGTCCCAATCTTTATTCTGGTCAACAAATTGTACTATTTTAAATATTCCAATTAATTGATGATACAAATTTCATCTTAACACACCTAATTTAAAAAATTGGAAAAATTCAACTAAATGATTTGAAAAGCCTGACGTAAAGCTTTTCAAATGTGACTTGGATTTTAAAATATTTTTGAACCCTCTGGACAAGTAAAATAGGATGTAATGGATAATTAACACAACAGGTAGGACACTAACACATCTAGTACTTAGAATAAGGCTATTTTTTATTTTCTGGAGCTGTCAAGTCAGCAAGAGTGTTATTGGCCCTTTAAGAACTATTATATAAATCGTTGTGCTTTTGTTTGCACGTTATCTAAATACTCGACCAAAGAAAACGCCCATTTTCAACACTCATCTTTTAAATTTGATCACGAAGTTAAGGCAATTGTTGAAGAGGATAACCCTTCATATTGAATACATCTGCCGGAATACAAACAGACAGGAGAAGGAAAAACATATACACGAATAAGGAAAAATATGAGAATGTCAAAATTACTCGATAATTCTCAAATAAGCAATTGTCAAGTATTTCACACATGAGGATATAAATGGAATGAAATGAAATGGGGTTTAACGTCCTACTGTTCTGCCTCGACTGGTCTAAAGAAATGAAATGGAGTTTAACTTTCTACTGTTCTGTCACGACTGGGCCAATGAAGACGGTATAAGGACATTAAGTGTATTAAAGTTACAGTTTCATATATTATATTTTTAAAATGTATTAAAATAAAGCCCTAAAATAGATAGTATCTATAAACAGTCCTACCTTGTCAAAGAACAATCCTATTAATCCTATAATTCACTATTGCCAGTTGAGAAATTGGCAAAAATATCATTTTCAACTTCAAATTCAAACGTTCGAAGATAGCTATTCCATGGGGGAATAGGAAAACAAGGGAGGTAATTGTGTATTATTTCCTGTGTCAATGATTTTTAAGTGTGGGAAATAATGCCTATGATCGTATAATAGTGAGTTGATAACCTATTTTATTAATGACAACTTTTCGACTAGGCTTCTCTAGTCATTATCCATCAATTACTCTTTATTACTGAGCGACCACGTTTAACTAGGCTTCTCGGGTCTTTATCCATCAGGGGGGGTTGGATGGCCGAATGGTTAGCACGCGCGCGCTGTATCATACGGTCTGTCATTGAGTCAACTGGCGGGGTTTCGATTCCCTGGTTATACGTGACAAGGAGTAGGGTCGCCAGTCCAACCTCATGTGTTTTCTCCGGGTCCTCCGGTTTCCTCCCACTGCTAAAGACCCCTACGCGCAAGCGAATTATTGAAATAAAATTGAACCATATGTGTTAGTCCCGAAATGGCCTAGTTATGTGTCGAGTGGACGTTAAACCCCATTTCTCTCTCTCTCTCTCTCTCCGACTAACAATTAAAGTGTAGCTAGTCGTTTGGGGAAACATTGGCGTGCACGTAAAAGATCCCCTGTCAGTTAGAATCCAAAGAAGAGTATACGAAAACGGAGTTGCCCGCTTCCCAACCCACCACCTTGCAGTACATACATAACTAGGCAATTTATGATATGTTAGTCTCAGAATGATAAGACTTTAAACCCTATTTCATTCTCCGTATTAATATGTTTATTTTATTGGAATATTAATGAATTAATTATTATATTGGTTTTTAGTTTCTAGTAGATTCTCGGCTCCATTAACCCAGTTTAGGTTCATAAAATAGGACGCTGCATTCCATTTCTTTCATTCTAGAAGATTCGATTAAACATACATAAAGTAAGAGCTAAATCTATCTTTTTCAGGTCATTTTTTTAGGCCTTAAATGTTATATAAATTATTAAAATGACATTTATCAACATGACAAGACAAAATCAACTCTTGATGCCATCGGATAATCGAGATTTTAAGTAGATTAGAACGGCTCGGCCATTTAATGATTTAATTTAAATATGGGGAAGTGAGGCTAAGCCTCGAATATACCAGTAATATGGTTACGATAATACACAATTAACACACATCTTGCCAAAACTACAAACAGCGATAACTTGGTCTAGAATAAAGTAATTTGAATGAAATTTGAATATATTCATTTTGCATTAACTATTTTGATATATAGCAAGAACGGTCAGCTCTTTATCTAAATCTTACATAAAGTATCTTTAAAATAACTGCGG